AATTTTTAATATCTAGTTAATATTTAATTATCGCTGATAATTTTTCAAAATTAAACATTATGATATTGAATTAAATTGTTTTTACTCGTTAAAAGAATAGTCGATATTTAAATTGTATAATTTTAATTATATACTTTTAGATTTCGTTATACATATAAAATAATTTCTGGAAACGTGATGGTTTCCGTTGCAGCAAAATACACAGAGTTATACTTTTGTTGAAATTATATTAAATGTCTAGCTAAAAATATAATTTGTACTTATATATATATAATCGCGATTATACATTTCTGATATCATATACACTTTTATGTGAATGGAATTCACTTTTATTTTTCTCGGTTTCTGCCATCTCGCGGAAATATATCTTCTTTTCTATGAGAAAGCCGTATGACTTTTAAAGGACATCGAAAAAGGGGAAAACGGATGTTTGCCGTAGTAAAGTATAAGTGGCGATTTGCAGGTGTAACGGACATGCCGGCGGTATAAGAGAAGTAGAGAAACATAGTACACTTGGCTAGTATAACTCGACTACTGTTTTTACACTCGAGGATAGAAAAAATACGGGAATGGTAATATTAATCCTTTGGTAGCAGCCATGGTAACATTAATCCTTTGCGTTCTGTCTTGGATGTATTCGTCTACTAAACGTGACATAAGAGAAATTGCGATGCATTAACATACTTCCAACTTATTTGTTTGTGAATCCCACCTGTCTTAAAACTTGATAGATCTTTCCTACTTTTGTTTCCCTCTTATTTTATTATGAAGGGATCCTTCACAACAAGACTTCCTTATACACAGTGAAAATATATCCTATTTGGTTGACAACTAATCTCTTGTTTTATTATAGGCAAACAAATCCTTGGTTGATGCAATAAAATAATTTAGTTTAAGTACAAAATTTGATTATTGTAATGTTTTACTTGTGTTATCAGAAACATAGGATTTATGAAATTAATGGGATTCTCAGTGTACATTTACACACTCGTTCGTCATTCTCGCTCATCTTCCGCCTATCCTATTAAAGATATTTGTAATCGCTTTATTTAAGAGCCTATTCTGTAATTTGACCTTAACTGTTACTGTAGCGTTAAGGGTCCTCTACATAGAAGTCGGTAGACAGTCGTGGAGTCTTAAGTCGTAGGAAACTGACCAATTCCAATCGAGTATTCTCCTTATATTTGATTGTGATTGATTGGTTTCCTACGACTTAAGACTCCACGACCGTCTACGACTTCTATGTAGAGGACTCTTCAGTGTCGTGCATAGATTTTGTATATAGTAAAAGAGCTGCGACATAACGTTACAGTTACAATTAAGAGTTACAGAATAGGCCCCTTATTCAGCGTTTTAAGGAGCGAAGAAGTATACATAAAAATTGACATCTATATTTTTTGCATCTCGAAATTCTCACAAAATGTATCAAAATGGTTCTTACTTTTTGCACGCGAATCCTTTCTCTCTCTCTTCTTCCGCTTGAGAAAACATCCTCAAAATCCAACTTCAGCCTTGAGTATCACTCGGTAAACAAAATGCCACCATCGGCCAATGTCCCTTCGAGTTTCGAAACTGAAATTTTTGTTCCCTTTTTCTCGGATGAAGGGGAAGTATCGCGTTACTATCTCTTGGCGGTCCGAGTCTCTCGCGTTCTCGATTGTTTCGTTCTCGATCCGTCGGCCACGAGCCGATTCGAGATCCGCTTTTCGAACTTGCGTTCGCCGGAGCGACTTGTCGATGACGTTTCTCCTCTTATTTTCGTGGCCATGACAGTGCGTGTCACGGACCGATGGTTCCATTCTTCATCCTCCGACGCGTTTCGACGGCGTGCGAGAGAAAAGGTATCCGTTTTGGATTCCTATCAGATTATCACAAACGCGACGCCTTGCAGCGAATGCGATCGGTATGTGTCCCAAACACGTCACTGTGAAACGCTAAGGCGTCACTGAAATGCTGAAACATTTCAGACAATTGTGCCTTCTCCGTTCTTGACGTAGCAGGATTGAATATGTTTAAATGTACGTAGTGCGAAGATTTTATCGAATTTTCGACGGTTCAGAACCGTCATATTTTCTTACACTAAAATAGTTCGGCACATCTTGAAGTTGGAACGACTAGTGTTATTCTCCATCTTGGAGGTAAACGGAATAAAATACGACATATTTAAATATAAAATACATTTGCTTCTTGAAGCCGCAAAACCGGATTATTTCTAATCTATGTAGATTAACTTTAATCTTAATTCAACTTACTTTTCGTCTTTTTCTAGTTTTAAGTATTAGAAAAAGATAAAGAATAAGTTAAACCGAGATTAAAATCCGTAGAAACAGAAATTAATAGAAATGGACAATTAGTCGCTCTATTCCGAAGGCGTAAAAATGCGTTAACAAAATTAATGGCTTCCGTTGCTATTCTATATTATTTGTATTGTGATGTGGATGAGGTAGTGTTGACTATGTTGACACGGCTCGATTTACACCAAAGTTGTAACATCGACGTTATGAAACTAGCCAATCACAGTCATTCCATTCTTGAGAGGAATAGCTATGATTGGCCAGTTTCATAACAGCGATGTTATTATCCTCGGATCCGATTCTTCGAAACCTCCGTTAATTTAGACGGTGTGCGTATGTTTCCGTATATTTCAGAGTACCCGACATTATTACAACATTGACGCTTTTGAAGAGATTAACGAATTTCGATAAGATTAGCGATGTGATACGTGATCGAGGAGTTGACGCCGATGGAGTTTCGTCGAGAGTGGACACAGTGATATAATCCGGAGTAGATAAGATCCACTAGATCGGAGCGGACTTAATAAAAGTACAATTAATTTAAGTCAGAAGCGAAATCAAATCGCGGGTGAAATTCTAAGACCCTCGTTTCTCGTTCCTGTTAGTTACTCGCAAAATATCGGATGTAATTTACGGCATGTATCAGATAGCCAAGCAGAAAAATGCATAATTTTTTATTAATGCATTGGCAGGAAGCCAATTAATTTTTCACGCGTTTAATTATTGGCGTTACAATCGAGGCATGTAAAATAAACCGCGATATCGCGAGGAAAGAATTTATTCACAGTGAAAACTCCTTACGTTGATGTACTGTTACGATCGATGAGATCATCTTTATCGGAATGAGCAAACGTGTATGAATAGTATACGCTTATCAGCTGTAATTATTTCGTCGGCGGTTCAACGGACGTGCTCCAATTTGCTCGAACCTGTTCTCGTCACGGTCGTGTGTAATATTCACGATACATATAACAACGTCGATCTAGGAAGTAACCGCTTATCGTCTTGTCGTCTTATATAGTTGATGCGAAGAATTCGGATATTTTTGTCACCTTCGTTTTTTTTTACGTCGAAGTATTATAATCTCTCGCGCGCGGTTAAAGTCCACGATGTTTTCGTGTTAGTTATCTACTAGCCCGGGGTTTTCAATCGTTATCACGATTGTCAAATCGATGAAAAACTCGACTTACGATATGTGCGAGTGATTGAAAGTGCATATCGGTCAAGAGTCTGATTTCGATTGATTATCTCGAGTCGAGTGGCTCTTACTAGATTAGACGATTTCCTTCTCGCTCTTTTTTTCGGCAATCATAACGCTTCGGAAAGACAAACTGTTAAATTTTACCTGTCAGAAAAGTAGAAAGGAAGAGAGGAAATATAGAAACCAAGAAATCAACAAGACGAAATAAGTTTCTTTATTATTAGTAAGTTTTTTTTTTATTTTTTAGAACGAACTTCGCGTGTTAGTAATTACTTAAAACTGCGAGAATATCCATAGATTCCCAGTTGTTAAATATTCGAGCGAGCTAATGATTTAAACAACCGCTATATGGATGCGATAAAAATAAAGCGGCTCTCGTGTGATTTATATTGCCAAAAAAATATTATTCCGATCGTGAGATATCTCTGAAAAGTAATCGCTCGTTCGTCTTGCGATCGTGTCGAGTGATACGATTTGATTGATCTGTTCAAATTTAGTTATATCTATGATCGATCGAGTTCACAATTATCTTTCCGACATTTTTCGTGATAACCGCTTAAATTGGGCGACAATTTGGAACGTCAATCCTTTTCGGCGCATTTAATTAATGAACTGCGTGGTTACTCGTGATTGATGTTAATTACTGAATATATTGTATTTATAAAAAGTATTTAAACTAATTATAGGGATTAGGGTCACGTTCGTATTATGCATATAATCGTTGTTGGCACAGTTGATAATATTATCTAACTCATGAAATGTATTTGCAGGATATATATACATATATATATACACACATTGTATGTCATATAATATAATAACAATAACGACATAAAAATCTCGATGGTTTGGCAATCAAAATTAATCGGATATGCGTGTCGCATTCCGTAAGGTTATCAATCTTATCGAGGTACACGCTTTTTCGTGTATCTTATCGCGCATTGTTTTCGAGTGTTTTATTTGCTCCGGACGAGAGTGATTTTTGGTGCCAAAGCCCTAAAAGAGGAAAGAAATATAATGCTATGTTCGAATTTGTCGAAATAACTAACATAATTATTATTATCGCGTTGTTCTTTTTGCGCGTCGAAAGATTCACTATTTTGCGGCTTCGACTGAAAATGAAACCTGTTAACCGGCGTAACCGGTTTCACGAGGATATTTTTTCACCGGAGCCCCGCGAATGCGCACGCGGGTGTTTTTAGTGGTCGCGACAATAAAAGTTCTCTGGCGGATCTAGCAAAGATAATTGTCTAATATTTCCGAAAACGTGTCTCTCGATAAGAATCCCGGTCACATTTCTTCGCCTCTTCTTGCGGGCCGTTCCTTTTCCTCTTGTGCTCCTCTGTTTGGATTGGGCGATTAAACCAACCTGTCCCGATTGCGTCATCGATGACCTTGATCGCCCATAAGCTGATTGATAAATCATTTCGAGTATTTGATCGTCAATCGTTGATACTCAGTATGTTCGTATTGAAGCGCTGATCAGGAGCAAAAATACCGTAGATCTCGCTGATCGATTATCGGAATTCGACGCGGTGCACCGATTCAACAAGCGCGGTAAGTCGGTTTTTCGTGCATTTCCTCCGCTTTTATTGAACCTACGATATCGAATAGAATTTCTGTTAAAATTCCTTTCTTACATAAGTAAGAATCTAGTACTTTGATCGGAAAGGCTTGCGACACAGCGTCCACGGAAATAGATCTGAAAATTTATATATCAATTTTGAAGTCTTAAAATATGACATTCTGCTTAAATCAAAGAATCATAGAAATCATAGAAAATTGCTTTGGATATTTAATTATTTACAAACGGTCGTGAGAAATTTCTGACTTATTTATTTATTTGTACTTATGTTGTGAGCATCGAATAAATTTACAGTGAAATAAAAGCGCGTCGGTGTCCTCTTTTCTATCTCCAGTTGCCTTCAGTTTTCGAGCCGGATGAAACGGGAGGACGGTGGTGGTTTCGCGATCGAGAAGGAGAGGAAAAAAAAGAGGGGGGAAAAGACGTTTCTCAAAACAGGCGGCGCATTATGCAGCTTGTACGCGATGAAAGAATCATTGAAGCGTCTCGTGTTTCGGTATTAATTTACTGCGTGCGTGTCCGCCCGGTTCATGACACGCCGCGCGCCGTTCTTCCTTTTACGCGACAAGGGCGATATCGCCGATATCGGAAAGCCGGTAAGGATACGCACGTAAACCGGTGCGGTGCTGTGCTGTGCTGTGCGAAACGCTGCGAACGGACGGGCGTAGCTTGTCGTCGTGCACGTTACAAAGTTGTTCATTATCCCGTACCCACATTCGTGTATTGCGGTTACACGATCGCGCCCAGAATCCGAGAAAGCCACCGAGCGACGACTTTATTGAAATGACGTGTCCGAGATATCGGCCGGACGTTGTCCCCACGGTGTGAAATCGGGTTATAGATCGATTAATTAGTACAGTAATAATTTGCGGATTTGACAGCGTCTTATTAAGTCGACTTGGTCGCGCGTGTATCACCCGCTCCCGCGAATGTTATAATTAATTATCGTGCTACACGGCGCACGTGTATCTAGCCTAGCCAGTTAACAAGCCCGTGCAAAATCGTGAAATTATTTATTGCTAATAGAGCCGGAATTTTCCCACCATGCGGCGTGGTTCGCGTGGATCGCGTTCGGCTAAGCACTCCAATTAACTTCATTTCATGTTTGCATATAATATATCTCGTGCATCTTACGGATAGTATTCACTGTTGGAGTAGTTGTATCGTATAAATCGATGTTAAACCCGCTTCCAATTGTTACAATTTACTCATAAAATAATTTCGCATGTTCGGACTTCTAAGTTTCACAACTCTTGGTTAACTCTTAACCGAGATTTAATTTCTTATTCTTCATCTCTTCCAATTCTAATGCTAGAATTGGAAAGAGATGAGAAATGAGTTGGACTTCGGTTAAGAGTTAACCATAAGTTGTGAAACTGAGCTTTCAGCTTCAACTATAGCAACGGATTATTTAGACTCGAAGTGAAAATTGTTACGATTATATAATTAAAAAAATTTGGAACCTTTCTCTATCAATCGCCAGCAGAGATTTTTACTGCATTTCGAATAGAACGCAGAATTATTTAGATCTCAGGTGTAGGTTTTTACAACTGTAGTTAAATGTAACATTCATTGATTATCTCGGAAACATGCTTTTCGCCGCGCAGCGGAAGAATTATAACGAGAGATAAAGAATGATCGATCGAAATTAACGACCGATCGAGGGAGGAGCAACCGAAGAACTAATCCATGTTATTTGATTGTGTTTTGCAGGACGGAGGTTAGGAAGGAAGTTTCTTTCGCTCAGCAAATCAGACCAAGATTACCTATGATCCCACTGGGCGTCGCGAGGACGACGGAAAAGGAAGAGAGGCGCTTTTGGCAGTATTCCTAATCTCCCTCTCCGACCTGCCGCCCGTTCTCTCACTGTATTCCGCTTTCCACCCCTCTCTCCCCTCCCCCTTCTCACGCCTCCTCTTCCCGCTGTTATTCCTCTACCTGCTCGTTCTTCGGCGAGCGATCGCGACGTACCGAGATCTCGTTGGACACGATGGACATGAGCAGCGAGTCGAGCGCTAGGACGTGGTACGAGACGCCTAGGTTGGAGCCGCCTTCGGGGGGTGCCGGGGTGGCCGGAGTGGTCGGCAACGATTACAGGGGTTACTACCCTCACACCGGACCGACGGCGCATCACCCCGCAGCTGCGGCCCACTACGCCCACAGTAAGTACACACACACACCATTATCTCCTTCCTTTAATCGTTTATACCTTCTTATCTCTCTCTCTCTTTTTTTTCTTTTACTTTCTTGGACCTTCTTGTTTTTCTCTCTTTTTCCTTCTTGAGAAACTGTCGTCGCGGTTCAACGAGCGATTGCTTGCCATTTTCTTTGAAGATTTCGCGAAGTTAAAATCAAAAGAAGCGAGGACTCTCGCGAAAGGGTCTTGTCTTTTTTTTTTAGCGGCGGATACCTTGCGGCTATTAAGAGGATAATACGTATAATCTTCGAGCCACTTTGTAGCGTTATCGATTGAAATTTATCTTAAAGATTCCGATACGCGCGTGTACAATAGAAGCTTCCCGATTACGGCAATATGGCATGTCGCAAAAACTCACGCTTTCTGCGTGCGTTAAGGTGCGTTTGGGGAGCACACTATCAGCGTTGTTGCATCATTCTATCCTTATTTCTAATAAACGATAAAGGCAGAGTGACACAAAAGCGCTGATAGCGCACTTCTCCAACAATCAGCTTAAATATTATGAAAAAAAAGAATGGTATACCGTTGAATATAGCGGCATTAATTCTCGTAAAGAAGCGAAATTCTTTAAGTGAATCTGGGTGCGGTTAAAATCACAAATATATATATATATATGCTTTGAAGCATTTGATTGCAGTAAGAGAAAGAATTTGACCAATTGATCGGTCAATGAATGCTTTAAAGCAATTTGTAACATCACGTTAACTCTGATAAAAGTACTCGTTGCTGTTTGCTTCTCGCGTGTTTCACGATACAGTTGGGTCAACGACCGTCGAACAGTCACCTCTTTGCGAGCACTACTCATTAATTAGAATTTCTATATTTAATTAACGAGGCGTCTCCGAGGCTATCAGCGACATCGAAATGTCTCCCCTGATGCATCGCCATTTCGCTCCTCCCCCTTCGGTTAGATACCTGCCTCGATAATTAAATTTCTACCGCGGCTGATAGGCGCGTGACATTGTACCGCTGGGAGGCCCGGGCAGAGTGACAACCGTAACATGCCATTGGGGCAGTTTCTTAGCGCGGCGCTAATCCATCTCGAGCCCCGAATGCAGGCGGCGAAGCGCCCTCGAGACGCTCTCGAACCTGCACTTTCGAGCACGCAAGTGCGTGTTATTGTTGTATACCCACGCGCCGTCTTTTCTCGTGTCCCGCACACTTAACACAGGAGTCCTATACGTCCTCTCGATTCTCGCCAGGCAAATGACTTTCCATTTCAAGCACAACCCTTGCTACTTCTCCAGCGTGAAGCAGAGACGCGCGGCAAAGAAGCAAGGACGATTAGCGTGGTTACCGGCGATGGCGTACATAAAGGAGAAGTGTAAACGCAGGAAATGTGTGATTAGTTGTCCATAAAAAGGAAGTCATTCTAGGGAATAACGTAAAAGAAGCAACACTTGACGGTTACGCATAGGGGAGAAGATAAAAAATATAATTAAACATGAAAAAGTGAATAGATGAAGTTTATAACGAGAGAAAATCGCGAATGTGATGTCTCAGAAAGGACTATATGAATAATTTCGTAAATGAAGAAAAGAAGCTTCTGTGCTACAATTTTATTTAGCATTTATTTTATTTAATTATTGCTCAATAAATAATAATAATAATGATGATGATGATAATAATGCAACTGTCGGGAATAAAACAAAACAAGCAAAAGCTAGTAACATCTTTCTTTGAAACTGTATTTTATTGTTTCAATCAAGTTTTAATTTCTGTTCTTCAACTCAACAAGATTTATTCCGAACTTTCAGTTTCACTTTCAATATGCTGTTAAATGCGTGAGCGAAATTTTCTATTACTCCATATAGTTTAGTCAATAACTAGATATACACACGCAGATCGTCCCTCTCGGTTTCTAACTCTATGCTCTTAAATTCCACGCGAGAAAAGATTTCACGGCGTCACGCAAGAGAAAAAGAGAGTCTTTTCGAGGAGAGGCGCGCTAGGCTGATAGTGTGTACATTCTAGATGTACGTAATCTCTATAGCTCCTTCGGTTCCTCGCCGTTGGCCAAGCATGAAAAAGCATAGCGTAGGTAGAAAAATGTAGGTGTGAGATAGAAGTATGTAAGAACGAGAGAAAAGAAGGAGAGAAGATGAAGAAGGACGACGAGGCCAGCAGCGTTTCATTCGACGCGTTCTTCAACGCGTTGAGGAAAACCCAAAATAAGAGGAAGGGAAAAGAGAGAAGATGGAGGACAGATGACGGAGGCATGGACGAGAGAAACGAGAGGGAAGGCCAAAAGGCCAAAAAGTGCGTGAGGAAGAAACACGATACAGCCGGGCCAGATCTTGAGGCCCTGGAAGGCGATATCCCTGATTCGTGCCGACGTGTATGGATCATACTCGGCCCTCTGTTAGCTCGTGGCCCCCAAAAAACAACGGCCCTAATCAGAATCAAATCTACTGTCCGATTGTATGTCGAGACGACGCGGAAAAAGCGCGGAATTTCTTGCGACTTCTGACTGCTCTTGTCGGCAGCATCCGTGCGTCGACGACTTCTCTTGCCGCCGACAAAAATCCGCCGTATGACTCGGCGAGCGGTCGGGGTCGCCTTTGATTTCCGTCGCTTCAGACCGCGCGTCGGAAAATTCAAACCTCGTCCGAGCGTGTCCCGAGTTTTGACAGCCGCTGAAGAGTAGGGCGGAAAAATGTTGACAGCTAATGAACGTCCAGGGTCTCAAAGTGATCGATCTTATAATAACGGTGTTTTGACAGTTTAATCCGAAATTAGTGGAATAACTTATATTTTTATATTTATAAAAACTATACTTTTTTTTTTAAATAATTGTTAAAGATAAAAAAAACTATAGTATTTACTATAGTGAATATGATATACAAGAATATACAAGGCTTGCACAATTCAGAATCATTTAACTTGAGCTCTCGCTAACAAAACAGGGTATCTATTCTTATATTCGCGAGACGTTTTCACGCGTGCTTGACGCCAAAGTCTGAATATTTCCCTCCGACGGAGCTATAGCGTTTAGACTAGAAAAAAAAACAAACGGAGAAGAGAACGGAGGGGGAGGAAAAGATGGGACAGCGAGAAGTGATGCTAAAAGAGGAAAAAAATAAATAAACAAGATAGGCGGACGCGCACGGAGAGCGGGATGCATAATACACAGTGGTTGCGGCACAGACAGGAAGGAAGCGCAGCCAACCGCAAAGCCCGCGGGGTCTGAGAGAGGTGCATACGTAATTGCGGGGCCACGCGGGAGGCTCTCTTTTCTCTCTCTCTATCTCTTTCGCTTTCTATCTCTTTTGTAAGTTAAGTCTTGTCCCTTCTTCGCCGTGCTCCTCTCTCTTCCCCGCTATGCGCGATTCCTCGTCGACGACGACGACGACGACGACGACGACGGAGAAGAGTGTTGTTCGGGCCGGAGTCGGTACGACGAACGTGGCCGGTCAGCGGCGTCGGTTCGCGCGCGTTGCTCCGGTGTGCAAAATGTGTGCAACCGCGGCACACACCGACCGACCGGCGCCATCTTGCGCAAATGCACACGCCAGCTGAAGGCGGAGCCTCTCCCGAAGGGCCTCTCCGTCGCTCTCTCCCGTCGTTTCTCTATCACTATCTCTCTCTTTCTCTCTCTCTCTCTCTCCCTCCTTCCCTCCCTCTTCCCTTCCCCTCTCTATCTCTCTTTCTCTTTCTCTCTGTCTAGTTCATCGTAGCAGATGCAGCTTCACCGCGATCAATCTTCCTCCTCGTCGCCGCGTTTCGTTCCCTCCGTAGTTCTCTCCTCTCACCTCAGACACAGACATAGTGTGATTTCTCCGCTCTCTGCGGTAGCTCCGCATCTCGGTATATCGTCCGCCTCCGTTTCCTCCGTGCTTCGAGAATTTAAGGTAGATTTTAGGACCGATTCTATCAACGCCGATTAATTCTCGCCGATGCGCGATGTTTAAACAATATTCTCTCTCCAAGCCATATATTGATAGATAATATGTGAGAAATAATCTTTGAAAAATGAAATATCTTGTTTCATAAAAATGGCAGAATTCACGACTACCGCGGTCGAGCTTTGACTTCAACATCGAACTCTTCGCGAAACGGGAATTCAATTTCGTGGAATGAATTTCTACTTACATTCTCTTAGGCCACATATTTTTCGCCTGGGTACACTTACTCGGGCGCCTTTTGCGATCGAAAGAGAATGAAAGAAAGAAAGAGAGAGAGAGAGAGAGAGGGAGTTTGATCGGAGAGAAGGATACGGGGTGAAATTGCATGTTATTACGCGAAAGCTGCTGGGGGCGCCCGACATGAAATGAGACGTTATTTTCTACGGGAATTTCGTGCACGTACCGGGATTATATTATAAGGCTAAAGGCGCGCGCGAGCTCCTGCAGCAACGGGGGGGCGACTCCTTACCCGTGGGATACTTTCGGGGCATTCCTGAGCTTAACTGGTCCCCGCGATCCTCCCAGTGCCGCGGATCTCCTAACGAAAGTCATTCGCGCGAGAATCGTTAACGAGTTATTCCGTGGAGATTGCGTGCGTCTCGCCGTCGTTGTTACGGGCGATAATTGGCCCTCGCTAACCGCGAGGATAATGATGAGCGAGTTTCCATCGGAGAATCTCTCTTTCGACGGAAAATGGAATTCACCGGAGCGGCTCCTCGTCCTTGTCGACATTCGCGATAACAATGCTTATCGCACACGAGCGCGCGCGCGCGTTCACGGTTAACGAGGTTGCCACGCAAAAATAACGCGTGACGGATGTTTTGCAACCGAGGCGATATTTAAGCGTATCATCTCTTATTAGCGATACTAATTGGAGCTACACTCATTGAAGGAGTCTGGCACTTAAAAAAAAATTACGATCTTATCCACATCGAGATTCCGTGATCTTTCCTTACCTCCTCCTTTCTACTCATATTTTCTACTAATAACAATACAAATAAAAATATTACATTTTAAACCGGAGACACACAATTGAAAAGCACAGACAACAGGAACAGGG